ATGGCTGTTGTGTGTAAATGTCCTTAAATAAATCTGAAATTTTAGAGAAAATTCAATATCAAATTAAAGAGAAATTAACTCCTGATAAAATAATTATAAATTGTCAAAAACCAAAAATATTTTTTCCAATGAATAAGTTTGAATGGATCATAAATATTTCATCTTTTATCTTTACAAAAGACCTAGACCCAGCAAACTCCCACTTGTTTCTTCACCTTCAGCCACCTCGGCATTGTACATTGCCTCTCCTGTCAGTTCCATTTCAGGGCTTCTGGGAGAACTGGTCACATGATCCAAATCATCCAATAAGATCACAGCAGGCTGTCGCCATGCAGCTTCATTGAAGACCTGGCGAAGAATGGTCTGGATGACTTCTATTCTTTTCCCTGGGTGACAGAATATAGATATAAATCTTTACAGCTAACATTTGAACTAATCTTCCCAGTTATATAATCATGTAGTTGACACAGACTCTAACTGTCACATTCTTTATAAGTTGAAAAAAAAAATTCTACTTTCACTTCAACAGTCCTACCTTTAAGACTTTTACAATCCACTATTTCCACATATGCCAGGTTCGGTGGCTGGCTCAGCTTGGCACAGAGACCTCTGGTGAAGCTGCTCTTTCCACACCCCTTGTTTCCACACACCAAGAGGCAGCCATTTGCAATACTGCTGCTGCCATCTAGTAGCTGTTTTGGCAATGGCCGCTGTGCTATGGAGCATTCTAGAAATTCTATTGCTTGCTGGGAGAGTGACTTGATACCGCTGTAATTGTACAGTTGTTATGAAGTGAGATGAAGAGACTTTCATTCATATTCTAGATCTCACATATGCGAATGACATGAAAATGAGCTCTTTAAAACAAAAGAATATATGTAGTGTTTACATGTTATGCATATGTATAAGTAATGTGGAATTTGGCATACCCTAAAAAATAATTTAAAAAAATTACATCCATAAAAATGCTGTTTTTTAAAATAAGTTTATCACTGCATTCAGCAATATTGAATCCAAAGCATGACAACAGGCAAGAACTCTGCTAAAACGAGCCTGGAATACCAAGACACAAAGCTAGCTTAAAAATTTAATGAAACCTTTTAAGTACATCTACAGAGAAGCAACTGAAAATGCCCATTGAACATGTTGCCATTAGAGCTTTTACCCAAGATCTTCCACTTCAACAGCCGGTACAGGACAGTCCACCTCTGCCACACTTGATGCTGGTAGAGCAGCCACCTCTCTGGGTTTCTTTGAATCTCGTACTTGTTCTGTGACTCTGACCCTCACAGCATCAAGGGAAGACTCCTCCAGTTGAGCATACGTTTCTGTTGAGTCTGGGCTTTCTTCTACTCCCTGGAGTGTTAGGAGAAACTCCTGTGAGTGTTCTGAAATATATCAAAAATACATATATACAATAAATGAATTGTTATTCAATCATTTTATCCATTGTGGTAGGTGTGACATTAACTCAAACACAATCAAGTCTACAAAATCACAACATTTGTCACAAATTCCTTCAATGTGTTACAAAAAAAGTGTTGAATGGTTGTTAAAACCAACTGACTGAAACATTTACAAATTGCTACAGGTGAGACTGTGAGCACAATTACCACAATCAAGGCACAACCTGGCCAGTGACCTACCTCCCCCTAGTGGCAGACTGAACAAAGTGCCCTGTGTGATAATAAATGGGAAGTTCTCAGTTGCTGCCTGTCTCAGCCAAACTCTCAGTGCAGTTCTGTACATTTCCTTGGTGTATTTCTTTGTCTGAATGGAATAAGGATTACTTCAATGATGATTTACGATTTGAAAATTATGCTCATGAGTTATAGCTGATACAAAGATGGTAAAGCACATATAATACATTTAATACAATAATATACATCCTGAAGTTATTTATGAATCACAAAAATGGCATTTATTAAAACAAGTCTGACGATTTGCTCCAAAAGTTTATACAGACAGAAAAACCTTGCTATAATGTTACATTTAGGAGGCACTAAATTGGAAGTGCTTAGTACAGTAACAATCATGTACAATTAATTTCAATCAATAAAGCAAAAGAGATAAAACTTTCCTCACCACTGGTGTAAGAGGGTGCAGAGACAGCTGAGTGAATGTAGAGCCCTTAGAATGAATTCCCTCCAGGTGGACCCTGGTGAAGGCCCCCAGACCCCTCTGTCTTCTTAGGAACTCTGGAAGAAGAATGTGACCATCCGATACCGTCTCCAGCACCTTGGTCCTGCTTACTTCAACACCAGCACCACAATGAACTCTTCCACCTCCAGGTATCCCTGTTTCAGAATGAACTCTTCCACCGCTGTGGAATTCACCCCCAGAACCAAGTTTTTCGTCACCTTCAAAAATGTTATCAGTTTCTTCACCAAATGTAACTTTTTTCTTTGCGTATATGTTTCCTTTCATGACAATTTCGTTCTCTGTAGGAGTCTTTGCTCTGGATGGCACAACGTACTGAGCATTTACCACCACAACACGCACTACAATACTCTGACCCTGTTCAGCTTTGACCTTGTTGTCATGGTGACCAGGTTGACCTTTGGCCTTGTCTTTCAAGTTCTTGTCAGTTTTAGTTTTTGCAGCTGCCCTTTTTGCAATCTCCCGTTTTTCTTTCGGGGATGGAAGTTTGGTTAACTTAGCTAAAAATGATGGACACATGGCGTCAATGTCCACGTAGCCATGTTGTAGCAGAGTATTTGCAGAGATGTAAACAGTTGTAGGCTGTAAAAGAAAAGTGGTTTCTGGAGACTGACTACTCAAATCATGGCCTCCATTTTCTGACATAAGTTCCAAAGTGTCCAAACATTTCATTGGTTGGACTCTCAGCACCATGTTAACGTCTGTGTCCAGAATTTCCGACCTTGTTGCCTGGTTAAGGTCAGACGACATTTCTACTCCAAGAGGAACCTGTGGCCCCATGAGTATGAATCTGCAGAAGTCAAACATGCCCCTCATGTATGAAGCCTGAGCTAACTTGCTTTCAGAAACTTCATTGCTCCTCTTTTGTACCTCACTGCTTGTCTTCACATCATTCACAATAGCCCCATTCTTCATTTTTGTCACTTTTGAGTGCTCTTCATTTGCACTAGCTTTTTGATTTTCTTTTTTGTTCAGTTTGTCATCTACTTTTGCTTTGGGTTTGAATGTGCTTGACCTTGACCCAGATTGTCTGACCTTGGGTGCTATGACGACCTCTGTGTGTTGTTCCAGTAAAGCACATGGGACATTGGGTTCCATGGACGCTATAGAAATAGATAAAATGAAGAATGATTTAAAAATGCATAGTAAAAGATTTCCCTATGGGTAACTTATACTTTGTAAAGTTCATGGAAATGTTTGTTGTTATGAATGAGAATAAATGCCAATGATATTGTAAACAAGTGAAATAAGCCAAATTCAAGAGTTCCCAACCAATACTGTTACATGACAGGGGGGGGCATGATACAGGATGGTGTTGGAGGTTGCATGGACTAACTAATTAAAAAAGATCAATATTTGAACAGAAACAGACTAATTGTGGTGTAAACATATACAAATACAAGTGACACATATATACACATAAATGTACTAGTACAAACACGCACATGTAAGTTGGTTAATGGTGTAATTGCCATAGGTACAAGTAACACACACACATGCACACACACACACATGTGCACCTACCCATACATGCATACACGTGCACACATACTGATCACATCACTCACCCACTGTGACAAAAATACAGACGGCCCCCTCTACCCAGAGTGGCATCACTTGCTGGGGCCACACCACACGGAGCTGATTGAGGAGATGACTTTCTAGGAAACTGGAGTGGAGTTCCTGGAAATTAAGTTAAAAAGCCAATTGATTACTCTCAAATTACAAAAATACTCTCACACAAATTATTAAGCATTGCCTCAAATTGTCTTTGATTACTTCACAAACATTTCTTGATGGTATTTTTTTGGTCTGTTTGTCTTACCAGTATCTCCCAGTCGTCCACGGAGAGAGGTTCAACAAATATCCTGGTGCATGATGCTACGCTGGGAACAGCTTTCACAAGGACCTGAGATTAATAAGCAGAAGGAAAAATATATATATAAAAATAGAATTAAAACAATCATATTTATCTCTAAACAAGACCTTTTACATATAACCTGAGTATAAACCTACCAATATATCCCAGTTTGAGTACTAAATTCTTATATGTTATAAATTTTCATAGAAACAATTTATTGTTTAAACACACAAACAATTTATCTCAATGTCAAAATAATTCTCTCAATTATGTAAATATTTATCTTTATGAATAAAAGGAGTATAATAAATATCAAAAATTGCCTTTACAGGTTATATTTAGCTATGTCATAGAAATAGTGAATTAGCATGTCCTTCAAATATAAGATGCCCTCAATATGAATTCATCTTAAATATTCAAGACTAAGTATATTTTCAACCCAAAGATCACACTTCTTCTCAATAATTATACTGTGCACTAATAACAGTTATAAAGAAATAATAATTGCATACCTCTTCTCCTTATAGCACTAATAAGAATAATAAATTTATAAATAAATCCCATATGATACCTCTTCTCCGACCTTAAAGCCCAGTTTGTCTGCGTACAGTCCATTGAGTTCAATGGTGTCCTGAGAGCCTGGGGTCCCTGTGGTCAGTCCCCCTGACCAGCTGACATAGGCTATCCTGCCACTCTGGGACTGAAGCTGGAACACCTGCAACTGGAACCCAATTATATATATGTTACTACATAGTACTATATATACATGTACTTCTAGTAATTATATCTCTCACACACACAAAAACACACACACACACACACACACACACACACACACGTGTACAGCAAAAATGTTAAAGTTGAAAAGAAACAGAATACAAGACATTATTTCTCTGATCAGCATACTCCTGGTTTGGGAGTCCAACCCCCTCGTTGACTATAACACCACCCTTTCATGCGCCTTTTGTTAGAAATTCTAAATGCAACGTGCCCCTGAAGAAGTACCTATTTTCTGACCTGTCGCCCTCCCCTACATCTTCGAGGCTTCGACCAAATAATCAACATAAATTCCAAATTTTCCATGAATGATTTTGATTACCCCATGAAAGGTGCAATCTACTGTTCTGTTACTAAAGAGATTTAATCTAATACCAAGACTTTCATTAAGCTATCTTTGGTTTGTTTACCTTGCCATCTTCGTATGTGTTTTGCGAGGTCCAGCTTGCCGAAGGCAGGGAAACAAAACAGTTCTTATTTCGACCCCCACGAATCACAGCGGCCCAGCACTGACCCGCGGGATCCTGCATCGTCGCACCCTTTGGGTGTGACACCAAGAATTCACCAGATTTTCTATTTCAGCGATAATATGCTTGCTTATCAGAAAGTAGGAGCCAAAGTCGAGAAAACAAGTCAAGTTCTCTAGGAAAAGGAGATTAGTTGTGTGAAGTGTGTTAGTTGAGATGATCCATTGTGTTGTCGGACTTCAAACTTATCTCCAAAATTAAATTTGCCGCGAACAGTTTGTTTGTATCTACTAATTAATATAAAACTACATTTTTTTTTTCAGAAAGAGCAGTGTTGCGCTTCATGTTTGCATTTGTGGCGCGAAATCTGTCGCCTGCTTGTCGTGACGTTGCTCGCGAGAATATTACGTCAACAGCGTCAGGCGTAAAACGCTGCGAAGAATCGTGGCGTAGCTCGGCGCGAAACAACAGCAGCAGTGATACACGCATGTAAGATGGAGCATGGTCTTCATCATGGTCATTACGACGACGAATTCCGTGATCCGCATTCTCATGTACTATTTAAACCTGATGATGCCTTGTCAAGGCCAGTATGTGTTATTTCTTATGATCTCTGATTTTAATCACACTTATTTTTGCATTACCATTTGTCGAACAAATGGAGCCTATGATGCCAGAATTATGTGATCGAAATGTTAGCATCCTCTAGTTTTTGGAAAACAATTATAGTGTGCGAGTGAGGTGTACTTATGGGTTAAGGCTACCTTTTAGTTTTTATTATCGTTTTGTAAGGTGTGCCGTGTTTTGATTAGGCCCTATTATTTATTTTCAAAAGAGATTTTGCAGTATTTCTTTTTTTTATTGAGACCAGTAAGTTGAGAAGGCTTGTAATGTTGATGCATTTCTTACACTTTTTAATTTGTAGAACGGAGTGCTGTCAATCCATTTGAAACAATTGAAAAACATAAAGTTGGATTTCGAAAATCGTATCCTTGAAGTTTATTTACTCCACACTAGAACGTTAATTAGCCTGGGGATTACGTTGCTGTGAGAAAATACCTCTGCTAAGCCTCTTCTTTGATAGATCAATCATTATCTGGGCGAGATTCTGGTACTTTCATTCATTCATTCATTCATCCGTTCTTCTTTCTCTCCTTTTCTCCTTCTTTCTTTAATTTCTTGTTGCCTTCCAAGACTTCTAAATGTCCAGTTGTCAGTTAAACTATTTCTCTTGACCAAAGCTCCTGCAGTATTTGAGGATTACCCCATCAGTCTCTATGTAAGGATCCACATTGGTGCGGTGTGTAAGAACTCCTCGGTCGTCCAGAGTGGAGTGACCAAAACTCAGGCCGCACTCGATGACCTCAGACATTTTGCCATTAAGGTAAGTTTCTTTTCGAAATTCTTATTTTTATTATATATTTTTTTAATCTGTTGCAGTCTTTGGTTTTACAGAGCATGTTTAAATATTCCTGATAATTGCATTCAAGTTTCGATTTATTCCCGTCGACCATAAGACATTGAAAAAAATATATATCATGTTTCTTTATTCTAAAATATATGTGTGATCTAGAAAGAGATAATTTTTATAGTGATTTTCATACTTCTTCTAATACATTAAATATTTATCTTTTCCCTTTAGCTGAGCAACAAGCGCCAAGACTTGTCAAACAAAGTGAAGCTCGAACTGATAGGTTACGAGTCGCCTGAGAGACATCGCATTATTGCCAGTAAACAGATCCACTTGTATGACATTATCAAGGTTAATACGCCAGCTTTTCTCAGCTTTGTGATAAATAGTTTTAAATAGCTGGAACAAAAAATTAGGAAAAATGTATGAATTTAAATGAATAAATATATTGCACACGTGTAGAACAATTAAATCCTATGTTAATGTTTGGGTCCTTATTTAATTATTCAATATTTTATTTATTTATTTATTTATTTATTTATTTATTTATTTATTTATTTCTTTATTAACCATCTCTAAGAAACTGTACTCGGTGGAAGCGCTGGCTCTGACACGTAAAACCAAGCCCATGGCCGTGCTGGAGGTGGAGTTCTGTTTTGCTTACGGCAGCTTTGGCTACGGATTTTCCAACCAGGTGACTTCATTTCTTATCTCAAATTTAAAAAAAATCAGTCTTTTATTTAAATGTCACTCGTAAAGAAAACTGCCTGTCTTATGTAAACGTGATTTGGTGAAATATTTTTTTAAAGTAAAAAAAAATGATTGTACGCAGTTTTTTCAATACATTTACCAAAATATAAGGCAAAATAGTGTCCGACATCAATATAGACTCTTCGTTAGCTGCTCTTATTTTCTGTCTTTGAAGCTGGAGAACCGCCAGATGGACCCGAAACAACAGATCACCCACTCTCTGTTCCTGAGACCAGAGCCTATACCAGGGAGAACGGATACTTTAAAGTAATACTCTGAATATATTCTTGTTATTGTTGTTGTTTGATTGCCTTTTCGCTTCTTATTCATTTGTTAAGTTACTCTTTCTCTCTTTTTACCTCCGCCAAGGAGGTTATGTTTTCACCCCCTGTCTCTGTTTGTTTGTTCGTCTGTCTGTCTGTCTGTCAAGCATCAACATAACTCAAAAAGTTATGGACCGATTTTGATGAAATTTTCAGGAACTGTTAGAAGTGGACCGAGGAAGAGATGATTTGTTTTTGGTGTTGATCCGGATCAACAATCTGAAATCAGTCAATAATAAAAAATATAGAAAATTTAGGAGTGAAACGGCATTGGATAGAGACTTTGCTGCTTTGGCGGAGGTCTGCGCTCTCTGAGTGCTTTTCTAGTTTTGATTTGAGTTTAGTTGAATTTGTGTTAAAATACAAAAGCAGGTACGGACAAAGGATTATCAAAATATTTTACTCAAAAATAACGTGAAGGGTTAAATGTTCATCAAATATTTAATTTCAATATTAATTTTAAAAATCAGTGGTATTTAAACGAGAACCCTGCCCTTCCACCGGGCGGTGCTTTGATCGTAGTAAAACCACAATAAAATTTAAAAACAACATGTTTATTTACAGATGAAAACTGTTATTTCAAATAAAAGCAAGTGACTGCATAAATTTAAGATTTCGTCTAAGCTTTTGTAGTTACGAGGAAAACCAAACATGCATCTAACATGAATCATTTGACCATACACGATCAAATGAAAAAAGATAAAAAAAAAAATAATAATAACAGCTTCTCAAAATGCATCTTTCATTTTTACAGTTAAAAACACAGATGCATGCACTGTATGCATAGAAAGTGTCCAAAGCCAAGCATACTGGTGGCTTAAAAACTTTTGCTCTACTGACTAACACAAATCTTCTCGATACATTGAATGCCCTCACACAAGCAATATGGCATTTCATATATGAGTGCATGTGTACAGAGTGCTTAGCGCCTGTCGTGGTCAGAGACATGGGGCCTGTTTGCCATACAAAGTACCTGCTTACTTGGTACTGCATGTCTGAGATCATTTCAGCCAGCTTCTGGCGTACAATCTAGTAAGATATCTTTAATTTGAATCTAAGATCCTGGGCCGTCTACTGTCCTGCGAATTCCTCGGTTTGTTCCTAGATATCACACAGGACAATTCCTGGCCAAAACTTGTAATCTTCAAAATTGGCCTGTTATTACCTCAAAGATTTCAACTTGACCAAGATTTCTATTCTTCCTGAGGTAACTGCTCTCTGTATGTTTTGAGCAGTGAAGGCATTGGTATCTGCCGCCTTATGTTTTTTTTTTTTTTTTTTTTTTTTTTTTTTTTTTTTTTTTTTTTTGTCACAAAGATAAAAAATAGTTTGGAATTTTCCATAATAGTGCCATTTTACTAACTAATCTGTCCGTCTCTGTCAATTGGCGTTGGTTTCTTAAAACCCCTTCAATTTTGTACTAAATTTTGTTCAGACATAACACGACTCCTAAAAATCACACGCTATTTAAATCAAAATTCTCCAGAAATGTTCTAGAAGACGAATTTTAGACAGTTTTAAGACGCCCTTCAGGCTACACTGCGATGAAAAGTCGCCAGTCTGCGCTGCCTCTCCTCCTTCAGCAGTCTCTTCAGGTGTCCAATGACGTCAGGTAAACATGGCCTCTGTGTTGGATCGTCGGCCATGCAGTGTGCCGCTAAGTCTCTCAAACCCAACACCTTGGCTCGCCTCGCCATATCGCCAAAGACAAACCCCAGGCTGTAGACGTCTAGTGCTGCCGAACGAGAGGCAAACTCGAAAATTTCGGGGGCTAGTTGTTCACTCATTGGACGCAGTTGTTTCAACATCTCCAGCGTGAATTTGTTCGGTGAAAGATAAGGCTTGTCGTCGTTCAGTAGAAAAGCTGCCCCGAAGTCCACGATGCGTGGGTGAATTCTTCCCTTGCTGTCACGCTGCACCATGATATTTTCGTGCTTTATATCGAAAATGCCAATTCCCATCTGGAATAAATATAAATTATATTAATAAAGGTGGGTGGACTTGTAGGCCTAGTTGTTCTATGCGAGACTAATGAGAGTTTAGCTCAAGACACGTGTGAGCGTGTGCATTTGTGATACAAATTGAAGAAAATAATATTCAGTTTTTCAAGACAGAAAAAATAAATGAAAAATAAATTTAAGGATAGAAATAAGAAATTAATAGACAGATAATTACGAGTGACGTACCACTCTTCTTTTGACGTTTTCTTTTTTCCTGTTCCCAACGTTATTAAAAAAAAAACTTACCTCATGTATTTCCTGCAAACCTTCTGCCAGCTCCACCCCAAACCTAAGCCAGTCAGTGGCGGTCAAATGGCGGCGTGTGCTGCGGAATTTTCTGAACTCTTCATAGTGGAACGAGAGGCGACTCTTTTGCCGAATGCTCACAAACTCCGTAACCACGGCCAGCGGCGAGAACTCAGTCTCAGCAACTGCGGCCTCCCCGTAGTTCACCACCCCGTAGAACTTCGGAGACAACCTCGCCCCGTTCAGATACTCCAGGACACGTGCTTCCACGAGAATATCCCGTCGGGTGTTCTCGTCTCTCTTGAAGAATTTGACGGCCACGCGGTCTCCGCTGGGGACGTGGGTCGCCCTAAAGACAGTGCCGAAGTCCCCCCTGCCAATTCTGGTGGCCCGGTCGTCAGGACCGCTGTCCAGCTTGATATCTTTTATAGAGCAGTGTCTGATCTGAC